GGCTTCCTCGACCCCCACACAGGGTTTTTTATGGAAGCGCTGAAAGGACGCAGCCTTCGCTCTGCTAAACTCTACAGACTTAACTCCTTCCTGCCCCTGCAGGCACGGACAGCATGGCCCCGACTGGGCGGAGCACCCAAGCGAGGGCAAATTTGCAGCCTGGCTCCCCGTGCCTGCAGCTACACACACCCCATGCATCGCCGCAGCCTCTTGCCTTCAAACGCAGAGGTATGGCAGAGTTGTAACGCATTTCTGATGGGGCAGAGGCTGAATCTATCTTGTGATGTCCAGAAAATACCTGCTTTATCCTTATGGCCTTTGGATGCATTCGAGCTCTGAGCTAAGTGGGGCTCAGGACTCAGCAGACCATAGCGCAGGGCTGGGATGCACTGGGACCAGGAGGACACCAGGGAAACACCATGGAAACGCCATTGGGGTCAAAAAAGGCTCAACCCCAAGTCCTCCAAGGATGCCACCAGTGTTTGGCTCACAGGCTGTTGTGAGGTGGCAGGGAGGGCTGCAGCCATTAAGTACCTCTGCAGCAAAGCTACGCCTGGGGCTAGAGCTCTCCCAGGGGAAGAAATAGGTCAGATTTCTGGGTCTGCAAACCCTGCCTCCAACCAGCTGATGAACTTGCTCTGCCCCTTGGGTTTTGCTGCTGCCCAATCAGAGTGCAAGAACCACCACCCCAACTCAGCCCGGTGGGAAGCATCCCCAGCACCCATGAGGACCAGACGGTTTGGTGGAAGGTAGAGAGACACTACAGGAACCAAGGAGAGGAAATGAAGCCCCAGACAGGTACATCCCAGGTCTCGGTCATGACATGCACTCTCCGCTTCCATCCTCATCCTGGGAGGCAGGACATGGATCCTGCAGGCAGATCCCACACTGGACGTTGCAGCGTTAACACTGGGACCTTGGCACAGAGCGACTGCGGGGATCCTGTGGGGCTGTGCCGGGTCTGGGTTGCAGTGGTGGAGCTCATTGCAAAAACAGATGCTCTGGTCCACGGCCCTGGGTGCTGCAGGACACAAGGGTCACTGTAGCCATGTCCACGTCTGCAGCAGCACTTGTGCCCACGGGAGGGGAAGAGGCTTGATATTGGATCCAGGCCCAGGACCTCTGCTTCTCCTGAGGAATGGCTGGCAGGAGCCTCCTGGGAGACAGCTGGTTTTTCAAGGGAGTCGCTGCCTTTCCCCACACCAGTAAGATGCATTTGGACCACACCAGTCCCAGTGCACAGTCTTGGTGATGCATCAGCCAACAGACCCACAGCGACGAAGCTGTCCTGGGGGTGGTTGGTGATGCACACAAGGTTTTCAGCGCTGCCCTGGGATGGATGAGGGAGGTGCTGAGCCCACCGCAGGCTGCGAATCTGGCAGGGGGCTGTGGCTGGGAATAGTGGCCAAGCGGTGCCAGCTTGTCTGCAGCGAGGCCCTCCGCAAGGCAGCACCATCCTCTAGCGGCCACCAGCACGTGCTGCACCAGGGCCACTGCCAAGCCACTGCTGAGTTACTGCCGAGCCATTGCCACGCCATTACCACTGGGCCGTGTCCAGCCTGGGCTGGGCTGCTCTCTCCACTCTCTGGCCTGCAAATAAGGATGTCAGTGCATGTAGGAAGGGACACCCTGGTGGGACCGGGGTCCTTGGCAGGAGACAGATGGTGCATTTTCCGAGCGCTGGGACTCAGTCCCTTCTGTGGTGCAATGTAATGGCAGAAAGCACTGCTCCTGCATGTGGCATCATCCCCCAGTGCCCTGACAGCACAGGAGTTGCTACACCCAGCGAGGATGCAGTGCCGGGAACAGGCTGTAGAACCGGCATTGTTGGTGCTGACACCAGGCAGGAGAGATGGGGCGCAGGCGGAGGCCAGTGCTACACAGGAGCACAGAGGCACCCGGCCATAGATGAGCACCAAGAAGCAAGAAATCCCTG